GTCCAGGGCCGCTGCGCCCCAGGCGCAGAGCCCGTGGCCGGCCGCATCTGCCCGGAGCGACCCGGCTGCGCGAGGGAGGAACCCGGGAGCATACCCGGCCGCCGATGCGTCCCCAGCTACCTCAGCCGCCGAGCTCCGGCCGCGCCCTCCTCCATCCGCCCTCGTTCCACCCCGGCTTGGGCCCAAGTTCCCCGGAGAGTGGGTGGCACGGGCGCCTGCACCGGGAGGACCGCGGCCGCCGGGCCGCTCCGTCGGCTCTCTGCACCGGCTCCCTGGCGAACTCCCAGGCGCTCCCCGGATGTCGGGAGCCGTGGGGAGAATTGCGAAGCGGCCACAGCCCTGGGACAGTGTCTGCCTCGGCCCCTTGGCTGCTGGGTCCGCGGAAGGACGTGCGAGCCTCCTTTCTGAGCCTGGTCCTAGTGGGCCCCCGCGCAGAGGCGGATGTCCTTGCGCACAAAACCGAGACGGTGGCGAAACCCAAAGTAGCGGGGCCTTGGGGATGTGCGCCCAGCCCGAGTCTCAGAAGCTGGCAGGAGCTGAAGCCCAAGGGGATGCCGGAGGAGAGAGGCTGGGTGGAGATGCAGGAAGGAAGGACTGGTGTGGAAAGACCCTCTATGTCAGATGGCAGACTTGAGATTTTAATGCAGTGGCCACACTCAAAGCAGCCTAGAGGTGGCCAGATTCCAAGTGGGGAGAGTGGGCGTAGGATGGGGATTGTTGAAAAGCAAAGCAGAGAGAACAGGTAGGTGTTTAGGGGGTGAGCGAGCAGAATGTAGTGGCCCATCGCTGGATTTCTTGCCTGGACAGGTGGTGGTGACATTGCCTGGAACAGGTCACATGAGCGCCGCAGGTCTGGGGCAGATGACACTGCTGGGACATGTTTGGGATCTGAGAGGCCGTTTTATATGTGTCTAGGGATAGAGGAGAGAGTTACCTGGATCCTAAGAGGAGGTGAAGAGTGGGTGGCCGGGGATGCAACTTCACTTTTTCATTCTCCGACTAGCATATCCCTGTGCCTGGCAGCTTCCCCTGTTTCCTCTTCCCCTTTTCCCCTAGAGAAGTCTGAAATGGGTTTTAAATCTGTCTCCTGAATTCTTTTTCTCCTGCCACCATAAAAAATGGCTAATAAGCCGGGCTCGGTGGCTCAGCCTGTAATCCCGCACCTTGGGAGGCTGAGGTGAGTG